TCCTTATTAGCACCAAATCCCTCCCCCCATTTTTGCTAAATGTTTTAGCAATTTATGAGATTTAGGCTTTTGAAGATGATGGCATTTGATGGTAGAAAAGTTCAACTCCTAATATGTTGCTCACAAGGGCCTGAAAATGTCAGAGAAAGTTCATTTACTCTCCAGGATCTCTCCATGGTACTGAAGAACACTGAAGCTTGCTTGCTGTCTTCTATTGGTCCATCTTGACTCATATCTTTTGGGGGTCTTTGAGTACATTTAGAATTTTGAGAATGTATTATGAAGCCTTAAAAAAAAGGATGTCATAGTGAGCGGAATGAATAACAAAACTTCCATTTAACAGAAGGCAAACTGGTGAGTCCATTCCCCATGTTTAGGTTTTGCCTAAAAGCCTTTGGTTTTACATAAAGCCAAGGGACATCTTTGAAAATAAAAAAAACATGGTTGAGAATGGTACTGTACATCTATTTGTAACTAGAAGAACCTTAAAAAATAATGGATTATTGAGTCTGATAAACACCTAAAGAAGTTTCAGGAGTATAATGGTGTTCAGTGATGCCACACTGGGGGCTTAAGATCTACTCTCACAATGCCTACTCTGACTGATAATAACTTTTTAAATTCTCAATAACAGATTTTTCATATCCTTTATTCTTTGAATCTTTTTTGGAGACTGGATGTGGAACCCAGGTCCAGACACTCCATGTACTTAAGCCGTGAAAGCAACTAAGATTATTTTCCTGGTTGACATGTCTAGGGCTCCACTGCAATCCAGGAGATAGGATCATTTCTCAGACTCAGAACATACTTTACACATATACATGAAATTTCAGTTCTGAAAAAGAAATAGTCCAGAAAGTAGAAGGTATAAAACTCAAGACAACCATCTACTGTTATAGCTAGGAGATATATTAAACCACATGTTATACAGGAGTTTGTTTTCATTACTTCTTATCATTATCTGGAAATACAGTACATAACTCAAAAGCTGCTGTGTTTATTTCCTTTCTCACATCCACATTTATTAGATATACCAACCTTGGCAACTCTGTAAGTTATATAGATAGGCTTGCATAAGGTCTAAGTATTTCCTTTAATATTACAGGACACCATATTTAGGTCTTCTCTGTCATGATAGGCAACTAGAGACCACTTATTCTGGGTTAGAAATAGTTAACATGGCCTTGCACTTTTCTTCTCCCACTCATTTCCATTATATGGTTGGGTAGTAAATTTGAATATATAAGATATAAAGGTGATTATTGGGGAAATTGAAGTTCATCACATAATGCCTTATCAGCATAGTTCTTTCATGAAGAAGTAGACATGCACCCTTACCTGTATTGCAGAATCTCCTGCAATTACATAGGCCATTCAATAGAGAAAATAGATACATGCCCTGATACATGTGTAGGAGTCAATGGAAATATACCAATTCTTTCATTACAGAGAAAGAAGAACCAGCCACTTATACAAGTTAAGCCACAGAACAGTTAAATCAAATCTGAGAGATATGGGAAAATATTTACAAATGTATACACAGCAAGAAAAGCAATTTTAAAAAGTTTTTTCCCTCAAGTATTCTCCCTCGCGCCATTCATTTCCATACCAATTAGCTGTTGGTAAAATAACAATTTGCAGCCACTGAAGGCTTTCAATTCCCCCCCCCCCCCAGTAAATCCAGCTTCTGTCATCTTGGGGTACAACTCTGTCGTGTTGGCATTTCCTGTCTAGAACAAAAGCTTTCCCAGCAAGCAGGATCTTCTGGTGCAAGAGGAATAGCGGAGGCGACTAAATCATTGAAAGTCAGTATTGTAAATGCAGTTTTATTGGTGGGAATCATCTAAAAGAAGGGGAAAAAATGAATTAAGATTTTTCTGGTTGAGAAGCAAGACTGGAATTACTCCTCTTAAAAATATAAATTTTTTGCATACGTGAAATGAAAGACAAAGCAAATAAACAATTTTCAGGTCAACCAGTATGTTCAAATTTGATACAGATCCTAAAGAATTCAAGATGTAAAAGCTCATCTCAGTAAAAATAGCGATCATAGTGCTACCAAGTTTAATTTATAAGTAGACTGGAAAATTGCTCAAGAATTCCAAAGCAGTCACATCTGATTTCAATGCTGTAAAAAAACTGTTAAAAAAAGAAGTTAAATGGAAAATCAAGAAGTCAAATGTCTCTAGATTACTTGCAGATTAGTCATCAACACACTGATAGTAATTGAGTTAGAATGTGCATCATAGATCAAGAAAGGTACTTTCCAAGTCCAAGAATTTAATATGAATAATTTTCACTGTCAAGAAAATGATTATAAAAATAGTACTCCTTTAAGGAAATGGAAATATCCCCCAAACGAGAAAAATGGATCACAAGCAAACAGAAAATAAATGCCAAGAGGCCAATAAATAGGGCTGGGAACTTTTTTTAAAAAAATCAGGGGCTGCAATCTATTTTCTGACCACAAGGATTTCTTCCAGGAGGATCTGGTCCTTCAGATTTTCCAACGGTGCATTCATAACTGCTATAATTGAGTCAATACACTCTGCTGCTGGTCATCCTCTTCTCTTTCCTTTCATTTTTTTCAACTTCGACAGAGAACTAGATTTCCCCCTTATGTGTCTGAAGTACGATCATTTGAGCCTGGTAATGTGTATCTTGAGTGAGTTCTCGTGAGTTGATGCGTTCAATGATCTATTTGTTTGCTTGGCTATCCATGATATTTTTAAAGTCTTTTCAGATCCCAAGGTTCAAAAGTGTCAATACTCTTTCTATCCTGGTTCTTCAAAATCCAGCTTTTGCTTCTGTAAAGTGCCACAGGGAATACCATGGTTTGCACAATTCTTATCTTTGATCAGCAATCTTCACGGCTGCTCTGTTGCGTACTACCCTGTGGCATATATAAATATTACTTTTTTACGGTTGGTGATTCTAAAAGGTAGTAGCTACCTACCCCTTCAATATCTTCATTGTCAGTTCTAAAGCTGGTTATATCTGTTACTATTGGTTTGATCTTCTTACTTTTAGTCCCAGTTGCTCATTGTGGATCTTGAGCTTGCACGTGCTTTGAATTTTGGGGCTATCAGAGTAGTATCATCAGCATAGTATATTATTGATATTTCTTCTTCCGGCTTTTAAATTACATTTTCTTCCATTTCAGTTCCCTCAATATATATGTTGCATGTAATTTGAATAAATAATAGTTAAGGGGAGAGTATACAATCCTTTCTCACTCCTTTGCCAACCTAGATACAGTCTTCTCCATTAGTCCATCATGTGAGGTCCATAATATGACCTCCTGTCCTGCATATAGGTTTTGCATGAGAATAAAGAAATGTTCTGAGCTTCTTATTTTCTAAGCATATTCCTCATAATCAACACAAAGTATTTTCTATAGGCAACAAAGCACACACTGTTTTTGTTATTTTGGGCTTTCTCAATTATCCAGTGAAAAATGCCTTGTGTTCTTTGGTCTTTTCCATTTTGATAGCATGTGAAAATAAGGATTTTGTATGATAATTTGCATATCCTGTTACCTTTTCTTTGACACTGGACTGACCTCTTCTAATCAAATGGCCACTGTGTCATTTTCCAAGCGTGCAGGTATAGTTTGGTTAGAACCTTTACTGATTTTTCTTTTATTGCTTGCCATAGTTCTGTAGCTATTATATCAATTTCTGTAGTTTCCATCTTGGTAACTTAAGGACTTATCTAACACTTGTCTAGTTCTTGTAGGTAGGGAGTTATCTTCTATGGTACCGTGGAGGTTGATTCTGTACAATATATTTACTGTGTGGAATTTCAACACCTTCCTTTCATTTTTCTTTGAATCAGTTATTATCTATCAAAGGGCATCCTTCAGCATACCAGTTTGAGACTGGAACCTCCTTCTGAGCTTAAAGTCCTTTTGGAAAAGTTTCTTTGTTTTTCTGTGTCTGTTACCAACTTTGATGCCTTTGCAGATTTGTTGTAATACTGCTTCTTGTCTCCTTTGCAGCTCTCTGAAATAATTTGTCAAGTTTGTTCCTTAGATCTTTGTCTTTCTTGTCTTTAGCTGTCTTTCCACTGTCTATTGTGACATCTAATTTGATTTCTTTTGTTTCTTGGCCTTTGGCACTTTCTTTGTATATTCATCTTTAATAATTTTGATTTCCCTTCCTAGTTCTTCTGATTCCCTGTCAGGCTTCCAAAACCAAGAAAGAAACATTGACCTCTCTTCTAAGAAAGTTTTCTTTATTGTTCCTTCCCTATAGACAGAAATCTTGCCATTAAAACAGACTAATTTGCACCATTAAACATATACTCTGGGAAAAACGAGGGAGGACCATCTTAAGTCTCTCCGACATAAAATATCTAAACTGGGCTGACTTTTGCTCCTCTGGCATGCACTCCTTCCTTTCTGGGAATCTGGACAATATTCTTTCATAGTATCAGAGCAATTCAGGACTTAAAAACAATTTATTTTATTTATTTATTTAAAAGATTTATACCCATCTTAAGCTACTCTGGGTAGCTCACACCAACCAAATCCTCATGTACTCCTTGAAACTGCTGTGTAAATGCGCAGGATCATATTTTGGAAACTGGTTGGCGCTTTTTTTTTTCCTTAGCTTAACTTGGAACCTACACGTAAGTAGATGATGATCTATTCCATAGTTCCCTTTTGTGAGTTCTTCAACCTCTTCCTACCAATAATGTATTCATTTTGATTTCTGTATAACTCCATCTGGTGATGTCCCTGTGTATAATATCACCATGGTTGTTTAGAGCAATGACATAACAGCAGAAGTAATGGAATAATAATTCAGCCTTTTTTCCCCTTGGATTTTTTTTTCTTTTGTAAAGGATAAGAATGGTAGTGTAGAGCCCTTTATAAGTTCCCATTTCCCTCGAAGCCTCCCAATCCGGTAAAAGCTGTGCTACCAGATTGGCAGATTTTCCATCTGGTTTGGGGAGTTTGGGGGTTTTAAGGAATGTAGTGGAATTTGTTTTCCTCAAAGAGGCTGTTTCCATTTCCACTTTCATAGGAAAAAACAAGAAAAAACTGCAGTGCTGAAAGTAATTTGCTTCTGAGCTTCAACTGCAGAAACTCCATGTACTGGGGGGGGGGGGGGGCTGCAAATAAGGAGCTGTGGGAAGCAGAAGGCCTGCAGTTGTCTGCCTTCATATTAAAAATGCAGGTTTTTAAAATAACAAGAGCATAAAATCGTACACACACAAATGTACTCATCATGTTATTCCCTTTCAAGATAAGTAATGTTATTCAGGGCACAGAAAAGATGTAAAAAAAATAAAAAATTCATGGGATTAATAATAGAAAAGGAAATATAGCCAGAATTAATTTATTCTTGTTTTTAAAAACCCAACATATGAAATTGCTGACAAAATACTTTGTTTGTTTGTAAAAATCTAAAGTCCATAGTCACTTTTTGTGAGACGGGCAAGTCATATATAAATTTGATGATAGATAGATAGATAGATAGATAGATAGATAGATAGATAGATAGATAGATAAAATTTAGCTCTTTATCAGTTGATAAAAGCTGCCAATGTAAACTAAGGATTTAGTAACGATTCAGGGAAATATAAATGATGGACATGAGTTTAAAGAATATTTGTAGGAAAACATTACTGAAGATAGAATCCTCAAGTATATGTAAGGACAAATATTGCTGAAGAATTTGGCATAACTTTTAAATGGACATTTTATTTTAATATTACAGATATTTTGAGACAAATAAACTGGCTGAAATTGGTCTGTTTACTCTTTAGGGGCTTGTTTAGGGTCTGTTACCTCCAATACTGGTTGACACAAATCCTTTAAGGAACATCTTTAGTTCAACTCACCTTATTAAATAGCTTTTGATTTTCCTAAGAAGAGAAATCTATTACAATCAGATTGAATTGTTAGGAATCGCCAATTGTTAGAAATCTTAATTGTGTCTCTGTGCAGGAGATTATCATTTTTCCCCCAGTGATCAAATTTCATTTTTTCCCCAGTAAGGTTGCCATGTCTTGCAGAATTATCTGGTACCATCTTTATGCTATTATTTTAGGCATTTCTGTATATTTTTAAATATTTGATATATAGTAGCACTCTTTTTGTTCAAATATTGATCGGGGTATAAATAAATAAAATGAAATATTTTTTAATTGTTTTGTAGTATGGCAACTTCTTTGTGGAGTAAAACATGCTCAAACATAACATGATCAACAGATATAGGGTTTCCTGCCTGAGCAGGGGGTTGGAATAGATGACCTCCAAAGGTCCCTTCCAACTTTATTATTATTATTATTGTTGTTGTTGTTGTTGTTGTTGTTATATTTAACTGGAGCTGATAATGAAAACCAAAATCCCACCACCACAGACAAACACATTCCCTCATATAGCAGAAAATAACAAATTTCAACTAGTATTAATTTCAGATACATTATAAAAATTAAGGAAAATTTGCAGAATAATTTACCCCAGAGTGGTACTTTCCAAATTCTCCTGATCTTCCAAGAGCAACCGCAATATGGTGGCAATCATCTAACCGGGTCTCCTGAGTAACAAATAAAGCAGAAGTAAGATTTGGCATGACTTACATGCTTCAGGAAGGGCTTTATGGCCAACTCGCCACGGGATACCTCAATGCTGTATTATTTGTTTCATTCAATTATTTTTATTATGACCACCTTTTCATCAAAATTATTGTAATTCTTGTATTTCTGGATTAGTTTTCTTTATTATTATTGACCATGGTTCTATCAAAATTGATTTAACTTTTATATTTGTTGAATTGCTGCACAGTGAATTGTCCTGCGGCATGTGGGCCACAGTGACTTGGCCATGGCGAGTTATGCGATTTCATCAGGAAGATTGATGACATTACAGCCTAAACTAGCCTTTTTCAACTAAATGCTTGTTTGCACTTGCCCTCGTTTCTCATTTAACAAGTAAAACAACAAAACTTGGTGATGCTGATGACTACGAGGACATGTACCATACCACCTAAAGAACATTATCGTCCAAAGAACAGTATGGATGGTAAAGATGCAGTCCAATTTCTTTCTTGACCCTTATTTAAAATACAAGATGACATTTGTTTCATTTTCAAATTTCATGTTTCAAAACAAGAACTGAATTCCATAACCTAGAAGTTAAAAGGGCATTTTTCTGTGACTTCCATATTACTTCATTTAAAAAAAAATCTAATGAATCTGACGCTATTGTCATAACCTCATGTAGATTACAAACGTTAGAAGTTTAAAAGATGCTTCAATTGGGGATGAGTAATAGGAATTGTGGCAGTTATTTATTTTTATTTGTCTTGGGAAAATGTTACATTTCATTAGGAAAGCTCATTCTTCAACCCAATCGTTACATCAAGGTGCCAAAAGTCAGATGGTAACTTCATACTTCAGACTCAGTCATTTATATCTGATGCCAAAAATATGTTGCTGCTAAAGTTATAGGATAAAGTGAAAGAGGGCGAAAGATTTTAGCTAATCAGGAGGTAGATGCTAATAATGCTAGAGACAGTATCATTTATATCAATGCAAATCTATTATGTTTCAGTTCAATATGTATGATGGATCTAGGGAATAGCTTGTAAATTAAAATCATACCTCAAATGTCCACTGCTTTTCTTCTTCACCATCCAAGAGTATAACAGTTTCATTGTATGTTTTTCCTACTTCCAGTTCCACTGGCGACACATTAAACTCTATCCTTTGAAGGTCAAATCCTATTCCAACACCAATGGCTTTTATGAAGCTCTCTTTTAATGCCTAAAGTTTGACATTCAAACACAAGAGGTCATTGTGTGTATAAGTATAGGTTTGTAAATCTTTCTGAATCATTTCTAGGCATTAATTACCCCACTAAACCAGTCATGCTAGACACTATTCCTTCTCTTTACACATTTATTTAGTAATTATATATACATCATTTTGAAATTAGTGGAAGGACAACTTTAATTATTAAATTGGAACAACTACTACTCCTGACACTTTCTATTTGTGAATCTATAAAAGCTGTCTTGAACTTAACAGTTTTTTAGTATGTTGGACTATAATTTCATAGTCTTTTCAATTCTTGACTTAGATTTCATTTTTAACCACTCCTTTTCACATTTTTTTCTATTCCTTCTATTTCCACCTTCTTTGTATTCTTTCAGGATGCTGCTAGCCTCTATTATAAATTAGGCCAATGAAAGCTTTGAAGAAGCTTAATTCCCGTGAGCATGGGCAACATTCTAAGAATGGGCAGCGGTAGGAATGAAAGGGCTATGCCCTTCTTCCCTCCAAAGCTGTCAATGCTCAACTCCCCAGTCACAATTGCAGACAGAAATGCCTAATATGTTCTAAGCATTGTGCAGGTACTGAAAAGTAAGGTAATTCCTGTGAAGAGATTCACAGTCTAATAGAAAAGAGATAAAAGAAAAAAAATTAGGATGGAAAAGGAAAGGAAGATCTGAACAGCTATTATTTTTTTTATCAATAGAAGGGTTCATTTACTCTTTGCAAATATATTTTTTGTAAGAGGTAGACGATATAGTCTAATTTATCTTCATTTGAGCTGGCCAAAGTAGTTCTCAAATAGTTGTCAAAGAATTACCAATATGTCCTGGAAATTCAGGTCCATTGGCATAATGAAGAAACTAGCAACAAAATATAATATACTATGTATTCCTAGGTACTGGGTGTTAAGATTGTGTTGGTTTCATGGATCAAACATTTGGAAATTAAATTTGTAAGACCTGGATTAAATCTGATATCATTGGGTGAATCACTCTTCTACAACTTAAATTGTCAAACAAGATTGTTGGAATAATCAAATAGAAAATAATCTTTTAGTATACCTACCCCTAAACGTTTTGAACAAAGGCCAAGATACAACTGGGACAGCCAGAATTACCTTTTCTGAAAAAATGATTAATTCCAGTTTTCTGGATTGTTGTAGAATTCTTCCAGAAAGTTTTCAAAATAGACATTTCACATTCTAAGAAGTGTTCTCAAAAAAAGGAATGCTTACATGCTTGAACATGGACTATATTAATTGACTATAAACAATAAATTTTATTACCCAGTGCCTATGAAACATATCCAACTGAAGCCATTCATTCTTCATGGACTTGATAACTTGCCATTCTTCTTCTGTGAACTGCCGTTTCATAAGCTGAAAGAAATCGGGAATTGAACCACTTCCTGAAATTAAAAAAACAGTAAAATAGGGAAATGGTAAGAGACCACTGAAATTAACACTAGCTGAAATCATTTGCTGCATTGTCAGGTCTACATAAAGCATATTAGTATAATGTATGAACTTAATATGCTGAGATTTTTAATCCTTACTTTATGGCGTAACTTGCTGTGTTAATCTAGATCAGAGGTAGGCAACTTCAACTCCCAGAATTCCTGAGCCAGCATGGCTAAGCATGGAAACCTCTCCTTTTCCCCTCAGCATGGCTGGCTGAGGAATTCTGGGAGTTGAAGTCCACGAGTCATAAAAAAGCCAAGGTTGCCTACCCCTGATCTAGATACTTGTAGTTTATTCCATAAATCAAGGCAAAAAAAATTCTATAGCTTAGCATGTTTTGTAATCCAAGCCACTGAATTGGATCTAGTTGTTTACCTTCAACAGTACAAATAGAGAGTGAGTCTTTAGGGTTTCAGATAAAGTTCTTTCTCAGGTACACAAGCCCGTGACAATTATATTGATGGAAACTGGGATATTTACATTTAGAAAACACACTCGCCTACTGATAAAAGTCTTTTTTTGTAGTTCAAGTCAGTAGTTAAGTTCACAATGGGATAAATGTGTGATCTAATTAAAAAAATTAGAAAATAACACTATCTGAGTTTTGGATAAATGGCTTAACAGTTATTTTCTTTTCACTCTGATTAATTTGCCGACTTAAACATAATCACTTTCAATTAAAACCTTTCTTTTTGAGGGTTGGTTTTGAATAATTTCTGGTTAAAGTTAGGATCAATGAATTCTTAATTATATTCAGCAGGGAGATTATTTTCTCCCTGCTGAATATACATAAATTAATACATAAATACATACATAATTTACATAAATTAATTTCTGAAAATCATTTCTATAAGATCTCACCACAGCTAGAACTAGATTTAAACAATAATTAGATAAAATCTAGTAAAATAAACTATAAACACTTTTAAGTCAAACTTGATAACTGGCAATATATACGTATGAGCCACTAACAGAAATATACTGTATGTTTTTGTTTTCCCACTGATGAGTTTCTTGAAGACACTGGAGCATTCAACATGTAAGCAGAGGGCAAAACTAGATGGACTGATGTTCTGATCCAAGAAGATCCAAAGAACTTCTTTCTTTTTATCATTAAGGGAGAGAAAACAGGGCAAGGAAAACACGGATTTTTCTTTAGCGAACAGAGGCAGCTTACATTTTTAAGGCTGATTGTTACTTATCAATCTTAGTAACGAGTCAGTGTTATATCTGAATTAGCCCTGGCTAGAAGTCTAAAATCTTTAATAGGAATAGCTATTAAAATAGCCTTTTATGGGTGCCATTCACATCTGTTGTCAAAAATAGAGTTTCATTAGATATTCTACTTGTGTTTTTTTTAAAGATTGAATGATTTTTACAAATCATTAAATTTAAGATAAATTTAAGAATTTTTGAAGAAAAAAAAGTTTTCTGGACCCATCAATTTTTTGGACTTTCTTTCCAGCAGGCCACACAAAGGGGAAATGAAGATCTCCAGAAGCAACAAATGTCCAAATGAGAGATCATCACTGCTGAGAAGAATGAAGAGAATGAGGATTAAAAAAAAAAAAGAAGTAAAGAAAAATCATGAAATGGGCCTGTATAAATTATACTTTTTATTTTTACAAATTAAAAATAAAGATATGTAACTGGTGTTATAATTGGGGATAATACCTATAAAAAACAGAATTAGTTTCCTTTAAATATATATTTCTTTAGATTATCTTGTAGCCAGGAGGGGAGAAAAGAATTTTGAAGACAAAGGTTTAAAATAAAGTTAATAAAAAAGCCAGTAGTAATACAATTCTATAAAAATACATTAGAGAATTCTCAGTATAATAGCAGAATCAATTTAAAGCAACATAAAGTTTTCACAGTTGAGGCAAATGGCAAAAGGTGATGGTTGTTGGGGTAGGAAAGAATTAAATGAAAACAGATTATCAGTTCACTTGATAAATCACCAAAATACATCAGGTTAATCCTTATGAATTTCAAACTGGAATTTATAAGGATGAAAACATAGTGAAATTAATGGCAGACTTGTTGTCCAGATAACTATCTTGAAAACCCTCTGGTTGTTTATTTTGTTGTTATCCTGATACCATATCATTAAAATTAAAATGATGGGGAACATGGCAATTTCCAATGAAACAATTTTTTTTTTGTTTTCAGAAAGTCAATGTTTCAGTTGTTTGGTGAGTTGTATGTTTGCTACAACTACATTTCACTTTCTTCTCTTTTTTTTGTTGGCAAAGAAAATCAGGTAATCAACATCTTAAGAATTACCTGGTACAGTTTTCCTTAATTCTGCACGTCCCAGGGATTTCTGAGAGTTGTAGTGTCAATTCAACTGCAGAGTGCCAAATTAGCATTTGTGGATTAATGGAAAAAATACTTGTATTCATTCTACTCAGGGATTTATGTAATGACTCCTCAAAATTATTTCCTTCCTCTATTGCTAGCTAGCCTTTCTGCCCATAGGACAGTCAAGGCTGATAGCTTTTTTTTAGTATATTTAAACTATTTTAAACCATATTTAAATTAAAATACAAATTATTTTTTTAAAATAGAAGTTTAAACAGAGAAAATCATTACCGCTTTGACTCTAGATTAGTTGGAGAAGTAAATATACAGAAAGACAAAGATGCTGATTACTCCAGTCAATTGCTGAGTAGAGTTTAGAGAATGTCATGATTCTTTCTCTATTTATACCATTTCTATCTGCCCCCTGCCATGAGCCTGCTATAAACAAAGTGGCAAAATCAGTGATTTCCAGAAAGAAGATTTAGAACGAAGGACATTCAGTCCTGGAGCATCTGGAGAAGACTGCACAAAGTTAAGCTGAGGACAAATAACGTATTACTAAAGAGAGCATAACATTCATATTTTAATTTCTTAAGTTTTAAAACCTAAGAGATACCTTTGGATTAAGAAAATAAGAGTTGTGATGCTCCTATTAATAAAATAGCATTTGGAAACATTGCCTTTTATTTTCGCAGTGTTCATGTTGTGAAACTTCTTATCAGCAACTTAAAATTCATTAATTATATTTCCCCATTTGAAATATTTTAAATAAAAAAACCTGCTGGGTCATAAAATCTAAACTTGTTCTTGAACGTGAGAATTTATAATTCTTCCTCAAGGAAAACTGGAGTTCTAAATATTGTGTTCTTTTTTAAGCACATAAAAAGCATTTAAGTTTGCATCTTTCTCTTTTAAAGCATCAATACAAAGCCATGCTTCCCATAAGGCCCAGCATTTCCAATTAATACATATTCTGATGTGCTCTGACATAATTTATTATCACTGGAATTCAGGATTAGCTGTTTTCTCCTCTGCAATATTATTATTTACAAATCAAGTCAGAACTCAAGACCTTCTTTCTTGAACTTTTGTTTCCATTCTAAATAAAACTATCTCAGTTAATCTTTGATCCATGCTTCTGAAAATTTATTATTCCACGGGCAAGAAAGCTCACAACTACTTCACATGTGAAAACCTTGCCAATAACAAATTCTGCTTATTATTAAGGTTCTTATCCATCCAATGAAATAATGGTTAGAGGGCTACAGATTTAGAAATTAGCGCTCTAATCCCGCTGGCCGAATGACCTTTGAATCAAGGATGTGAAAAATGAAGGTGTTTATTTTTTACATGTGTTAACACCTGAAAATCACAGTGGTATAAATTGTTTTCTGAATGTTTTTGAAATTGAGTTAAGATTGCCCATTCTACAATCCCATAGTTTTACAAGTAATCTCACAGCAATAATTTAGGTACGAAAATTAACATCACATCCAGTACAATCTTCACTGCATTCTCCAAGAGCCAAAAGCACAGTACCGTATCTCAAAACCATTACTTTGACTTTGTTGTGATAATGTTTATCATTTTTAAGTTACAATGGCAGACATAAAATATGGAGCACAATTCAATGCTATCAGAAAATTGAGCACTAGTTCAAAGCCTTCAATCATGTTATATTTCACAGTGCCAAAAATATAATTTTGTATGCATTCCCACTCATGGAAAATAATTCAAATGCAATAATTGCCCTAAACCAATATAAAGAAGCTTCCCCTCCTTCACCAGACACAAGGGTTTACTGTGACTAGAAAAATACTGCAAAAGGAAATTTTAAAAAAGGAAACAAAAAAATCTGAAATAGATAGAACAATTCACTTTTAGTAACATACTTTAATGCAATACGAAAGCTATGAGTGGCACAAAGAGCCATAGAAAGATACATGCTCGGCATTACAAGACAGGATGGAAAGACCTGCACATGGATTAGAGCAGGGGTTTCCAGCCCCTGGTCCATGGACCGGTACTGGGTGATAGCATGCCAGCAACTGGTCTGCACAAACAAGCAAAACCCCATCCGTGAGATGCAGTCAGCCCACAAAATCACGCACTCTCCAGTCCGCAGAAAAACCTTTCTCCATGAAACCGGTCCCTGGTCCCCAAACGTTTTGGGACCTCTGGATTAGAGAACAAATGAAAGTATACAATATCATCAAGAGAGTAAAAGAACTGAAATGGAAATGGGCTGTCACATAGCAAGAAGAACTGATGGCAGGTGGACCAAGGAAGTCATAGAATAGCAATAGCACTTAGACTTATATACTTCACAGTGCTTTACAGTCTTTTCTAAGTGGTTTACCCAGCATATTGCCCCCAACAATCTGGATCCTCATTTTACCAACCTCGGAAGGATGGAAGGCTGAGTCAACTTTGAGCCAGTCAGAATCGAACTGCCGAACTGCTGGCAGCTGGCAGTCAGCAGAAGTAGCCTGCAGTACTGCATTCTAACCACTGCGCCACCACGGCTCATGGATTCCATTTGATAAAAAGTGTCCATGAAAGAGACTTAAAACAAGATGGATGAACGACATCAGCAAGTATTGCGGGCCCAATTGGCAACAGATGTAACCACTGTGAAAAGCAAACAAGTAGGAAGATTCTGCACTGTGGCATCCAGATTCTAAAACCAGGTGGAATTAGGATTCCATGGAGAAATGAAGGTATTCCATTTAGAGTAGAGTTAAAGTGGGGTTGGGTGATGCTTCCTCCTGCATTAATCTGGAGTCACAAATGGATGACTGAACAATGTTTTGTTTGTGTTTAAAATTTCGGTTTACATTGTTACTGATTTCTTATACATAAATTAGCTTTCAACTAATGGAAGCTTTGCAGTATGGAAAACATTTTGGCAGAATTCATAACTCATTTTGCAGATCTCACCCTACATATACAGCCCTCCTGTCTTCTATCCAAAAAGAATGCATTTAATGGGAATGTACAACATATTATATTGAAAACTGCTGACAAAAAGCACGATTTTGCAAAAAATAGGTAAATAAAAAGAAACTGTTGATACCAGTATTAGACAGAATTACTAGAAAACTAATTCAAAAGGACAAGTAATCAAGTGGCTTGTTTTCTAAAGAAAAACTACACAATGGACATATCAAACATACTATTCTCTACTATAGAACAGACTATATATTCTATAGAGAAAGACAGAATCAGTCTCTTGAGAATCTGGGAACTGCAGTTTTCTCATCTGAATCTCTGAAAATTGTGTTTTAAAGATTGCTACTCATTCCTCTTTATAGAACAAAAATTAAGGAGTCTGGTACTAAAATGACAATCCTGCATAGATATGCACTAGCATTTTGAAATCTTATTCTCTTCACCAGATCTGAAGTGTTTGGTAGAACAACTACACCACCATGTGGTTTTCCTTGTGATGACACCTGTTATCACAGATACTGTTATTATAAGGCAGGCTTTTGTTCTCCAGATGTGTCAACTATGATTTTCAACACCTGACATGATGACTGAAGCAATGGAAGCTATACTCTCAATGTTGTAAAATTTATGTCTTGCCATGCTCAAATTCATCTATTATTTTTTCTTCAAAAAGTACCCTCTGCAATTCTCCCTTTCAACGTAACAACAACAATCCTGCAAGCAACTCAGATTACTCAGTAGGTTTCATGGCTGTGGAAGAATTTTAATTGCACTTTTGTATTTGTACTTTCAATTATATACTGGGTTTGTTTACATATTTTCAGCAACCATTTGCCCATTCTAATCCTAAGATTTAAGCAGTTCTAATAATGTGCAATCAAGTGAAAAGAGAATCCATAACTATCATTTTTTTAAAAATGGAATGTTGTGATTTAAATAATATTAAGCAGGCAGAAGCCCTTCTCATTCCCATCCTAGGATAGGACATAGATGTGTCATGTCCCATTACCTGGCATTGTAGTCTTCATGATATCAATGCCAACCTGACAATCAGGTTCCGCTGCAAGTACAGTGTAATTTCCTTGATGAGAAATATTAAAGCTGAAATTGGATTGGATGCTGCTTAATGCATTTACAAGGACAGGTTTGCCTTGTGAAGTCCTTTGTAGCTGTATTTTGTTCCAAGGAATCTTCAGCTTTTCCGCAATCAATTTTCTTATCATCAGGCGGCCAGCCTGCGAAATAAAATGAACAAAACCATTCACAACATGTAAATTGCTCCATCTGAGTAAAAATGTACTAAAATATTATTTGCTTGAAAAACATTTGGACTACATCTTATGAAGTACAGTAAATGACAATTCAGTTATCTTTTTTTAAAAAGTAAAATGAATGGATTCAGTATTGCAACTACAATATTTTAGTAAAACTTCTGTGCTTCTTCCAAGAACTTAAAAAGAAATTGTTCTATTCCTATCGACAAAATCATCTTATGAAGTAGGCTAGGCTAAGAGAACAAGAGAAAGTTTCATGGCAAAGTAGAGACTTGACCTTCATTTTTAAGCAATATTTGAGACTTAAAAATATAGTTTTTAATTTTGAAATATATGAATCAATTATATGTACCAGCTCCATATACTAAATTAAATATTTTGATAAGAGCTTTTTCACATTTCCCATGTTATATATCCATTAACAGTATTTATATTTATAAAATTGACAAATATGCTTATCTGCAGATAATTCTAACTTTGCCTGACTCGATTATTATGTCATTTTTCCCAATAATGCAACACTCCATCCCCTTACATGTAAACAGTCTAAATTTTCCCATCCAAATTTTTCAAAAACTTGACTATAATATGACAAGTTGCCATCATAAAATCACATACCAACAATTTTTGTTTTAATGTCTCATTTGATGGATCAAAAATATTTTTCTGATGCTAACTGCTGAGTTCTAATTTCCAGAACAGTAAATCAACTTATTTCCTTATTTTATGACATAAGTGAAAATGAATCTGAATTCCCTCCAATAATCTGAAGAGACTATTTTATTAATATGGGACAATCTGACTAGGATACTATAATATTTAGAATGATTGTCCATGATAGTTCTTTTATTTGCGATGAAACAGATTTATAAAGAATTTGTAGCCTCAGTTTGTATCCTGTTCCATTCTTAAATATATTCCTAAATCTACTTTTTTCATATTTCTTATTGGTATTCAAGCTCCTCATTTCAATATTGAATAATATTTTATAAATTATTGAAACTAAACCCATTTGGGATTCTTATATGAAGCAATGGCCTATCAATTTCAATATCTATTTTCTTTTTTAAGAAGGGTTCAGTTGAGTGAAATACATGTAATCTTCATTTAGAAACGGACTCAACAATTGTTCACAGTTATGATGGCAATGAAAAATTAACTTTATAATCAATCTTTATATTCATGATTTTTACAGGCTTGTAAAGCAAAAGAAAACTGAAGTACGATCATAAGCATAGATGTGGTTTCACTTAGTGAACACTTTACTTAATGAAGTCTCAAGAGGATGACCTATAGTGATAAATAGCAAACTAATGAGTACTATATTTTAAGAAAAATAAAAGTCTATCTTTTAAAGGAAATTGATGTGTATACAGATACTCTAGTTTAGTTATAAGACACAATGTAATTTTTTCCTATTTATCTTTCATTTCAAATTCAATGTGGAGACAGATTGTGAGGCACAGAAAACAAGTTTAATTCTCTAGTAGATTGTTTTTAAAGATTAAAAACACTAACAGTGAAAAGATTGTCCCTGCAAAAAATCACTATTTTTAGGAATTAGATACTATCAGAACACTATTTTTAAAAAATGAAATAGTAGAAGCATCAATGGAATTTGAAGCATTTGGCTTTTCTTCAGTTTAACTGACTGAAGTCAACTTATGTTCATAATGATTAAATTTATGTAAGCAAGAGAAATATGAAATGCTTATTTTGTCATGAAATGGGTGACTTTTGTTATACTGAAAAAAATCTAATTATGGTCTGTGCCCAGACACATACTTCTCTATAAACATCCAAAATGAATTTTCAAATTAGATTTATTTATGTATTGAATGATTGGATTCTACATTTCCTACTATTATTGAATAAAATATATTGATACAAATGCATTTGTGTTATCTCCAGAACTTCAGCTCCATCTGTAGAGCATAATTTCAGCCTTTTATGAAGACTCAGCTTGTTACTAAACTATGAGATGTTACTAAAACCCTAGAAGAATACTACACTATTTTTAAAAATAATACTACCACTAAAACCTCTCCTACTGTGTGCCTCAGCCTACATGAAGTTTTCAGCCAAAATTTCTATGTTATGTAATGGCCAGAGGAAAGCTGGAGACAGGTACTAGAAGTTTGATGATCTCATACATGTAAAATTTCTAGTTGCCCCTCTCATGCAGCAAGAGCAACACTACTGATATTTGGCTTGGTATCCAGTGTAGCCCTGAATGATGAGCATTAAATCATAGAGGTTTAATGTACTTGTCTATTCTAAAATTTCCAAAGCAAACAGTATGTTTGAAAGGGTGAATAAGAGTGTACCATAGCAGCTTTGGCATCCCGACCAAAAACAAACTGTTCAATGCGCTTTTTCTCTTCAGGCTGCACAAGGCGCATGGCCAACAACCATTCCTCACAGCAAGGGGCCCAGGCGCGGTATGAAAATGCCCAACGTATACTTTCCATGGTGAGGCGCTCCAAGGACACCCTAAAAAGTGATGATGTCAAGCATACATATTCCAATCATCTGGAAAAGAGAAGCAAAGTTGACCAAACTTTTGAAATTTCTGGCTCTGGTTTGGAGAGCGTAGCTATCATTGCTTTATTCTACCCTCCCTCATAGGGTTATCACAAATGCAAACCTGTGGTTACAACACTAAATTTATCTAGTTATTCACTAGACCACAAAGTGTTTTAGAAGTTTAAAAGAAGTTTAAAGGCAAGCAAATTATTATTCTATGAACTTTTAAAGTGTCAGAAGAGTACAGTTGCAGTAAAAGAGTACATGGCTAGAGCAGGGGTAGGCAACCTTGGCTCTTTTATGACTCGTGGACTTCAACTCCCAGAATTCCTGAGCCAGCCATGGCTCAGGAATTCTGGGAGTTGAAGTCCACGAGTCATAAAAGAGCCAAGGTTGCCTACCCCTGGGCTAGAGTGACTATATTTGCTTGGAAAAAATAATGGGAAAATCTGAAAACGATTCATAAAAATTAAAAAAAATCATTTTATGTTTATAACTTTGCATACAAAGGGGACATTCAAGAGCAAAACTAAGAAAATAAATCTAAAGGAGCTTTCTAAAATAAAGGACTGTGCTTCATAATAAATGACCTATGGTCACTGTATATGGGGGAAACACATATTGGTATAAAGCAGTGTTGCTCAACCTTGACAATTTTAAGGCATGTGGACTTCAACTCCCAGAATTCCACAGCCAGCATTGCTGGCTGTGGAATTCTGGGAGTTGAAGTCCACATGCCTTAAAATTGTCAAGGTTGAGAAACACTGGTATAAAGCAAAAGTCTCCCAAGCTGGCAATTTTAAGACTTGTAGACTTCAACTCCCAGAATTCCCCAGCAATTCTGGGAGTTGAAGTCCACAAGTTGTCAGGTTTTGAGACTCCTGGCATAAAGAAACAGGCAAATAGATCTGGGAAACGTGCCTACCAAGTTGGCCCTTCGAGGACAAGATGTCAGTGCTGGTCCGAGTTTTAAAATGATTCTTCTAATTTGTTCCTAGCATTATTTAGAAAAGTGACTTGGCTTGGCAGGCACAAAGATGAATGATTCTGAAAGTAGGGAGAGGATAACAGGTCTTCCACACCTGAGCAGGTAATGAGAGTTTTCTTCCAAGACCGCTAAGCCAGCCAATCAATGGGCTGCTTAGAGTGAGTCAGAGGAGATTTCCCTCCAATCACAACCAAGGTTACTTGGAAGACAACGAAAAGGGGAGGGGGCGCAAGCAAGGGACAGAGCAGAAGTATCACGCGCTAACGCTGCTTACCGCGAGCCTCTTTTTCTCTAAGCGACGTTGAACCTGAAGCCGGAGAGGGCGGAAACGCAAAATGCGACGACCAATCGAGGCTTGGAATATCGCCGCCAGGAGAAAAAATCTAGCCAATCAGCGCTGACTGCAAGCTTCTGCAAGGTGCATAGAGTTAGAAATTCAAAGATAACTGCTCTCGGAGCGGACTTCTGTTCAGCATTTTACCACCGTTCAAATAAGGAAAAATAACCTTTAGCAATAAGACACAAAAGAGTTAACGGGGTTACTAAGGAGTAAACTCGCGCTCAACGGCACCGCGCTCATTGCGGCTTGGGAAGAGGCGGGCTTAAAGGAGTAACGGACATATGCCCGTACGAATAACAACGAAACAGTGGTTTGACTGACAGGAGAGAAGCCTATAGGCGAGCTACGGTGGGTTTCATGCGGCCGATGTGGCAGATGATTCCTACAGCTCCCGGGGAGGATGCAGGTAGGTAAAAGTGACGCGATACAACCAGAATTTAAAAAAAAAATGGGATGGGAGATGGGGCTTCTCTGAATTATAGTGAATTTATTCTCGCAAAAGATGCTACGCCTGTGGGACTGGTACGAAGCCTCTTCTCCTCCGAAATGCGGTCCATTTAAGACAGTGTTTCTCAACCTTGACAATTTTAAGGCATGTGGACTTCAACTCCCAGAATTCCACAGCCAGCAAAGCTGGCTGTGGAATTCTGGGAGTTGAAGTCCACATGCCTTAAAATTGTCAAGGTTGAGAAACACTGATTAAGAAAAGAAGCTTCAAAGGCCATAACGAGCATGCGCGCGTACTTGTCCATGCGCAAAAACAACTTAAGTCGATGCCTCTGGTGGGCGTGGCGTGGAAAGTGGAAGCCGTTAAGAAAAAAAAACAAAACGCGGGGCGGTCGGGAAGAAGATGCGGGGGATGCCTTTTTAGGGTGCGATTGCAATGTGGAAGAATTCGTTCATTCGTTAGGCCTGCTTCGTAGGTGAGGCTTGGTCCAGTTTAAAATTAGAAAAACGAGTGTTGTGCAAAGCCCACGTCGTTAGCCAGCCACACGTACTAGGCTAGAAGTCGGGAGACCGAGTGTTATTCCCCACTTACGCACGAAGCCAGCTGGGTGACTTCGTGCCAGTCGCTCTCTTTAACCCTGGGAAGGAGGCAATGCCGATTCACTCTGAAAAACCTTGCCAAGAAAACTACACAAGACACCGGGGCGGGGGGGGGGGGCGGCAATCAAATCGCACTTTTATTTGTAAGTTGTGCAAAGCTACCGTTATTTCCAGCAGAATTAGGCTAGAAATCAAAAGCTCAGCTGCACCTCCTTCCCTCCCCAAAATCGGTTGCCTTCCAGGACTGCTGGAATTACACTTTTTTAGAATCTCGAGATCGCAGAGGATTGATTTGATTCTTCTTGAGTTTTAGTCCAGAGGATTCTGAAGGTAGCAGATTTAGGAAAAAAAAACGCTCTAGAAGTCGAGATACTTACGTCTTGTGGAAAACGAAAGGACTCTTACGAATTCCAGAGGGTGTTAGCAGAGAGGTTTATTTGCGCAGGTTCAGAAGCAACAAAGACAAGCAATTCTGAACAAAGAGGGCGTGTTCAAACTTCAGTTTTATACTTTCCTTTTCTCAGGAACAAAGGACTACACATTGTAATACACATTGTAATACATTAGGATCGTTTCTCACGGGCATACAATGGTAGGTTTTGCTACATACAAAGTATCCATGTGCATTTGGTTAGTCACATATTACTGACATAGAATTTTCCCAGTGATTATGCATTACATCATTATTCTAGCAATTATGCAGACAAATCATTATTCCAGCAATTGTTCATTATTCTACCTTATTTGCATAAGCTTTGATGGGCTGTTCTTTTCAGATGCAAGGAATATTATTCAGACAGGTGTATATCCATTTCGGTTATAAGAAGGGACTGAAGGGGGCGTATTCGAGTCAAACAGAAAAGGACTGCAAACTCAAAGGTATTAACAGTTAAAATTTCAGTGCAGTAATGGTTACTGAATAACGTGGTAGAGCTCATTCCCAAGGAAAATGCCTGGATAGTATTTAACAATATAATTTGATATTATTGCTAAAACTGCTACATTTTTATTAAGTTTATTTTAATGATTATTTATGTCCTCTAAGGATTAGGGGGAAACTTCCCATCCCTGCAAAACTGTTGAGTTCATATGACTCATCAAATGGTGGATGTACAAAGATTTGAAAGTTGCTTATTCTAGCCAAGTTCTGAAATGAGACTACTAAATTAAATTTTCACTGTATTTCCTTGATTATGAAAATGGATAGCAGAAATCTTCATTTAATTTTGTGTGCTTGTGTTGTGACTGTGGAAATAAGTGATCATTGGAGCTCTTTTTGAAAGAAGCTTTTAGTCCTATGCTATTTTGTTTTAGCAGACAAGAGAGTTCTTTACTGCAATAACTACAGTATGAGTCATCAGCAGAGAAGGTATAGTTTTTATTAATTTAACTGCAAGTCCCAGTAAGAAGCACAGAAAATAATATGTCCTGCTAGATTCTGGCACATTTCTGTGGCTTCCATAGCTCATTAATGGCAAGATTTTGCTTGATAAACAAGATTTTAAAAGATTTTGCTTTCATTAAATATATTATTTATATATATTTACTACGCAAACATGATGCAATCATAGACCTAGTGCAAAGAGAAAAAGTGCAGCGAACAAGTGAAATATTCAATGATTACTTCTATTCGACTGTTTTATTATTTACTGAGTAGGGCCACCACATCTTTGTCTCCATTTAGTTTTTCCTATGAATTGGTACATCTAAGTCCGTGGTGGCGAACCTATGGCACGTGTGGCACAGGTGGCATGCACAACCCTCTCTGTGGGCACGTGCACCGTCACCCCAGTCCTAGGCCTTCAGCTGGGTTTTATAAAACCTTTTCGCTTTAGGCCTCCGCTGCCATGTGCAAAAAAAAAAAGGTTCAATCAATCAGTCAATTTCAACTTCTCGCGGGGAAAAAAAAGATTTCGCAAAGTTGGAATTGATTGATTGAACTTTTTAGTCCCACCCAGTGTGCCGTTACCACCGCAGCCACGCCCACCCAATGGGCCATGCCCACCCAGCACCCAATGATACATAAGTGGGTTTTGGGTTGTAGTTTGGGCACTCGGTCTCTAAAAGGTTCGCCATCACTGATCTAAGCTACCAGGAATATAAAGCTTAATATATGTGTTTGAACATAGTCTTAGTTTTTTTGCTTAATGATCCAGAATAGAAGATCAAAGATTTATAATTTATAATTGCTTTATTGATTTATTTAAGAGTGATCAGCTATGTACTGTAGTTTAAATGAGAAGCCAAATTTTACTGAAATTAGTCAAATGAGAAATCATTTAACATAAACACCAAGTCATAATTCTCTAAATTTCTAACATATGATTTTGTGACCATGTGGCTATTATTTTACTGGTTTTTTTAAGTGTCTATGTCCTTTTTTTTCTTTTCAGCTTACTGCAAAACTACAGGACCAGTGCAGTTCCATTTTTCTATTTCTTGTTTTTTTATCTTGTAGTTATTCCTCTAGCAGAGAAGGTTTTTAGTTTCCCAGAGATTCACAGTGTAGGAGATTCAGATACAGATAACTTATTGATTATCTGTCACAGACTGGAGAAAATCACCAGCAACTATCCCTAAATCTGGACACAAAAGAATATAGTCACCTCGTATAGATGTTAAATAGGTTAATGTTATTTAATACTAAATAAATGTCAGGTATTTGTTTAATTGCAGGATGGGCTAAATCTGGCAACATACAGAAGCCATGTATGTTAATACAGCAATTCAGAATTCTGGTTTAATACTGCCTAAACCAGAAGTAGGCAACCTTGGCTCTTTTATGACTCATGGACTTCAACTCCCAGAATTCCTGAGCCAGCCATAAAAGAGCTAAGGTTGCCTATCCTTGGCCTAAATCATTACACTGAGATAGTCATTCTTGGCTTAGATTTGGACAGGGCTTGAATACTGTCACAAAGAGGTGGAAAAGAACATAAACATCTAATATTTAGAACTCAATATTCTGAAAGTATATCAGAAGTAGTTAAAATCAGATCATAGAGATGATTTTCAGAATATTTAGCTATTTGCAGAGAAACAATAAAATTGCATTACTATTTATATTAACCTAACAGGGAGCCCCACTGAATTCAGTGGAGTTTATTTCTTAATAATAGTAAATAGGATTATGTTGTTAGTTAATTTTTCTTTCAGCAAAATGCTTCTGGACTGGAATGTGTTAAGTCATAAAGCTATACAGATATTTCAGTATCAGTGAGCTATAGTGTAATTCTCCATGGCATTCAAGTCTTATAAAAGCATTCTAATTTCAGTACTGAACCTCTTCTCTACTTGTTATTTTATCCCTGGATTAGCAATATAGACAAAGCCTAGGTACCAGTGAAATTAGAGTTTCCATATTTTAATTTAGATTATTTAAAATGTAATTACACTACTGTGATTCATATGGAGGGCACTCCTCAATACATCAGGACCATGAAGTCCTATTTTTTTTATTCCCAGTAATTTGTTATGAAAATAATAATTATGTTTGTAATGTGTATATTATGTCTCTTCACTAGTAAAAGATCAAGGAAGCCATGGACAACCAATATAAACCCAATAACACCCCACCTTGCAATGGAATTTCAGCTCATGACAAGAAAATCAGTTTTTTGGTAGCTGAAGATCATGGTCAGAGAATCTTAAATGTACTGCAAAGCTTCAGAGCTCAAAACATATTTTTTGATTTTAAAATACTTGTAAAAGATGAAGCAATTCCCTGCCATCGTTGTGTACTAGCAGCGTGTAGTGACTTTTTCAGGTAAATCTATTTCTAACTTGGCTCCTTTACTACTGTATGTTGTTCAAATTGACTAAAAACTAAAAAGGTCAGCCAATGCAATTCAAACTGTAGAATTCTTTGATACTGACTTATACAAATTACATAAAGTTGCATATATAAAAAAATCAATAATTCAGTTACTTGAAAAATTGCAAGGATTTTAAAAGTATCTGTTCATTTTCTGCAGTCTTATTCCAGGCTATTTAGAAGCCCCATTGAATTCAAAGGGACTTCCCATATATGCCTGTAGATGATTGTGCCTTTGTTATTAAGATAACATGATGCTTGTACTACATAAAAAAAGCAAGTATGTATACTGAGAATGGTACTGATTATCTCATTTGAGTTCTGAGATTTTTTTTCCTGATTGAAATTGTATGAATATTGGTAATGATGACAAAACATGTTAATCTTCTATATTTTAATTACAGGGCCATGTTTGAAGTTAACATGAAAGAAAGAGATGATGGGAGTGTTACCATAAGTAATTTAACACCCAAGGCAGTGAAGGCTTTTCTAGATTATGCTTATACTGGAAAAACTGAGTTAACAAATGATAATGTGGAAATGTTCTTTCAGCTGTCCTCCTTTCTTCAAATTTCACTTCTTTCAAAAGCTTGCAGTGACTTTCTAATTAAGAATATCGATCTTGTTAACTGTTTGCAACTATTATACATTTCTGAAAGTTACGGCTCCACTAAGCTATTTGAGCATACACTTAAGTATGCCCAGCTCCATTTCTCCTTGCTTCTCCAATCAAATGATTTCTTGGAAATGAATTTTGAGATACTGCAAAAATGTATAGAAGCTGATGAGTTGAACGTATCAGATGAAGAATCTGTGTTGAAAGCTGCCTTTTGGTGGACAAAACATGACTTAGAAACAAGGCATAAATATCTTCTTCATTTGATGAAGAAAATCAGATTACATCAATTACCTGAAAAAACATTGCAGGATATTTTGCTCTCTGAGGAACAGTTACTTAAAACTACTAATTGCTTAGTAATAATCAAGGAAGCAATTCAAAATGTACAGAGTTTCAGTGGGCTCTTCCCAGATCCTCGCCCATCAACTACAGAAAAATATATACTGGTTCATAAAACTGAAGAAAATAAAATTAATCAACATACATTTTGCTATAATATTAAAACTGATCAGTGGAAAGAACTGATGCACATAAATATATTTGATCTACCTGGATCAAGTTTATCTAGTTATGGTGAAAAAATATTTATAACTGGTGGATGTAAAGGTAACTGTTTCCGGACTATTAGACTTCATATTGCTGAAACATTTCATGATGCCACAGATCAAACTTGGTGTTACTGCCCAGCAAATGATAGCTTTTCATTAGTATCTGCCATGACGAAGCCAAGGACAATGCATACATCTGTTGTGACTCTAAATCGTTTGTATGTAATAGGAGGGAGGACAAGGGCATCTCAGAATATCAAAAGCCTTTTGGATGTTGAGGCATATAATCCCGTGTCTAGAGAGTGGAAATCTGTGAGTCCATTACCAAGGGGCATCTACTACCCAGAAGCAAGTGCCTGTCACAGTGTAATATATGTGCTTGGTTCTGAAGTTGAAATTACAGATGCCTTTAATCCATCTCTTGATTGCTTCTTTAAATATAATGCTGCAACAGATCAGTGGTCTCAGTTAGTAGCAGAATTTGGGCAATTCTTTCATGCAACTTTAATCAAAGCTATTCCAGTGAACTGCACTTTATACATTTGTGATCTTTCTACTTACAAAGTTTATAGCTTTTGTCCAGAGACCTGTGTCTGGAAAGGAGAAGGCTCTTTTGAGTGTGCTGGATTTAATGCAGGGGCAGTTGGAATAGAAGATAAAATATACATTCTGGGTGGAGATTATGCTCCTGATGAAATAACTGATGAAGTGCAGGTCTACCATAGCAGTAGATCTGAATGGGAAGAAGTTGCACCTATGCCAAAGGCCCTTACTGAGTTTCATTGTCAGGTGATTCAGTTTAATAAATTCAGGGATCCATGGTTGCAAAAACAATGTGACACAAACAATTATACATGAGTACCTAATTTCTCATGTATTTGCTCTTTATTATTTATTTATTAAATTTGTTTGCTGCCCATTTTGGCCACGATGTGATTTTAAGGTAACCAAATATTAGGGTTCAATCTACCAAACCATATTTTCTCTTAAGATACATCTTTTGAGTTTGGATGGCCTTTGTTTAATATTATTAATTAAATTATTATTTAATTATTAAATAAATTATTGGATTTATATGCCAACTGACTCAGTGATTGGGTTCCTTTCTTCCTTCTCTAGATAAGCTCTGCCTAATGGTTAGCTACTTTTAATATTAAGAACAGTTTCAAAAACAATTTTGGGGGGCCAAGAACTGATTTAAAAATTGCACTAGATAACTTGTCTTCCAACTTATACAGATTTATTTAAAATGGCATCCATAAGCTGAATACATTTCAGATTACTAATTTCAGGAATAAAAAGATTAGTATTATAGTATAAATGTGCACATGTATGTGTTTGTGTATGAATGATTCATACTTTAAATAGTGGGAGAAAACATTACAACCCATAACATGCAAATTCAAGAGTTGTGCTCCATGCATTACATAATTGGCTGTTGCTGTTATGTTTACTTTTCCTTTCTTTGAGGCTATAAAGCTGCATTTTTCCAAATAAAGTCACAATTAATATATTTCATAACCTTGTTTTTCTACTTTGTTTACATTAATAATTTCTGCAGCAATTTCCTATTGAGGCAACAGTCATAATTTGAAACCCCCATCCCGGAATTTATTCTTAAAATAAGTATGCCCTTGATTTGAAGGATTTTTCATCTTAAATCTAAAGAAGAAAATTGGTGCAATAGAAAGAATAATTTATTACAAATTATTTTTATATATCACTAAGTTGTCTTTTCAATATAATGAAGACAGAAAGGAATATTTCATAAAATAATTGTAATTACTGAACTTTAACATATTTTCTCTTTCATTGATATCAAATACTATTAAAGTTCTTCTAAATCATTGCCATTTATTTTAAATGTATTAGTATAAATTACAGTTCAATTTCTTTTGGGGAAACTGATTGAATCAGTGAAATTTATCCTAAAGGCTAGGCTATTCTTCCTCAAATTATATAGTCATTGTAACATAGACCATGAACTGTCAATTCTCCATGCTGCTCATATACTGCACATTCCATGTGCTGAAAATAAGTAGGATTATACCATACATTGTATAAAAGAGAAATATAATTTGTTCTTGGAATCTTATTCTTAAATATGGTCTTGAGTAAGTGCCGCTGGCCCCAGTTGGACATGCTCCTGAGAAAACATGTTTTAAGGAATCAAGCACAACAAAATAATTTAGGAATCAAGATAGAAACCATTAGAATGTGATGAGGAGTGTTACATTAGATAGGTCCCAAGAATTTGGACTTGTTATATAGGTTGTTTGTTCTTTTTCCATGACATCAAAAAATACTTTGGAAAATTTCACCACCTTTAAAGCAATAGCCATATAGCGGTGGAATTATAGCTCAAAAAAGAAAAACAAGGTCATATTGTGCACAAGCAATTGGTCTTGATGGCTATAGTATATGTTAAAGAACTGCATGTGAATTAATATCTTATTTGCACTAAGAACATATAACCGTATTTTAATTATACAATTATTGTATGATCAATAAAGATATTGCATGATGTAATGAATGTTAGTGTAATGTATATAGCTTCTTACCATCTTGAGCTTCAGTTATCTACCACCATAATCAGTATCACTATTCAAATGTGATCAATTTTCACTGATGGGATCTTGATGGAGCTAAACTTAACTTACTTCTGTGGTGAGCACTAAATACAAGAGATTGATAATGTAAAAACAACCAAATTTGGGGATGTTAAAAGATTTTTTTTAAAGTTGCTAAGAAAGGCAAAAATGAAATCATTGGAAAGATAAATACAAAACTGAAAATGATCAAAATTTTTATCAGGATAATTTTGAGAAATAAGATATGTTTATGTCACAAGTTTTTGGTAGTTGCATTGTGTACCTTTCTTAAAACAACTAAAATTAAAACAGCATAACTGGTATTTTAATTCAATATGTTGGGGTTTTGTGAGATTTAACATTAATCTGGATGTTAGCGATAGAGTACTGGAATGTTCATTCATTTATATAATAAAAGCATTAACCATCTAATCCAATATATTGTACTGAGTTTACACTTGTGTGATGAGAAATTACATCCATATACCTTACATTAACATTGTAAAGTACATTGTACAAGTGGTCCTCGCTTAGCAGCCACAGAGGGAATTGTCAGCTCCATCACTAAGCAACACAAATAGTGATCAAAAGGCGACTGTTGGATGCTGCAACTGTCATACGTGTGAGATAGTTACCAAGCCCCAGATCACGATCAAGGGGATGCTGCAATGGCCCAGAATATCAAGGACTGGTTGTAAATTACCACTTGTTCACAGTTGTCACAACTTCATTGTCGTTGAACAAGTAGTCAGAGTAGGCAACGACTACCTGTAATGGAGAACATGAAAGTGAAGTCACAAGTCAGCAAATGAGGGGGGTTAACTTGAAGCATGGTGCACCAAGTATATAGTCTTTTGACTCATAAAAGGTTCTAAACCATATGGTTTGTTTGGGCTTAGCTCTTGGGGTTTAGGAATCATAGTTTAGAGCAGTGTTTCTCAACCTTGACAATTTTAAGGCATGTGGACTTCAACTCCCAGAATTCCACAGCCAGCTTTGCTGGCTGTGGAATTCTGGGAGTTGAAGTCCACATGCCTTAAAATTGTCAAGGTTGAGAAACACTGGTTTAGAGCCTAGCTTGCAGCAATTCAGCGTGCAAGTACACAAACAAGCGGTTTCCTCAGGGAAGATCCCTAAAACTTCCTCCAAAGGCGAAACACGGATCGGCGCCGGTGATTAAAACGCAAACGACGACCGGCTTCTGACTTCTTTTTTTTTCCCCAGCCAATGAGAGTGGCCACTCTGGATGACACGCAGCTCTGGCGCCCAATAAGCAGAGGCCCGAAGAGGCGTAGTAGGGGGCAGGGGAAGGAGGCGGAGAAAGCGCCGAGCAAAGTTGCGTGAGTTGAGGGAAAGAGGGGCGGGCCGGAGGGAGGCGGTTGGGAGCTGCGGGGAGCGCGCGAGCTGACGCGCGCGCGGCTCGGCCCAATCGACGGGCCGCTTGGGCCGGTGAGTGACGGGCGAGCTCGTCAGCAGGCAGGGGGGTGGGTCAAAAGGCCGGCGTTCGAAGGGGGAGCGTTGCGCGCAGGTGAGGAGCTTTTGCGCTACTGAGGGAGGGTGGGAAGGAAGGAAGGAAGGGGAGGAGCCGCGTCTGCCTGTGGGGAGCAGGGGAGCCGTTGGCTTCGTGTTTAAGCGGCGCCTTCCTCCTTCCTCGCCCGTTTCTGCTCGCCGCTGTTTTTCCTGTGGGGCTCCCCTTCCCTTCCGACCCCGGGTTAGCAGACCCCGACATTCCCGTTAGGGAGTCGCTTATTCGTCCGCCGGATGGAGGGAGGCCGGTGCGTGCCCCAGTCCCTGACCAGCGCCGTGCAGGATAATGCTCCCTTCCCTCCCATTCTGAAGTGCGGCTACCCGCTCTACTTCAAGAGGGAAGGTGGACGCCTTCCCTCTCTCTTTGCCTTTCCCTCAGGTTGCTTAAAGGCGGGAAGAACGGGCACAATTCTGAGGCGGTAGACTGGACTGTGCCATTTAAGGTGGGGGGGATGCTGGACAAATGTATTTCTGACCAGGTTTATTCTGGTTATATTAGGTATTTATAAAAAAAAAATAGAGTGGCCAAGGGCTATGAAGACGGGACCACCGCGTCTTTTGAGAAAGGAACTAAGGTGTTTGCTATTAAAGAGGCAAACAGACTGAGCCAGAAGCTGCTCGACCTTTTTTTTTTTTTTTTATCTTCCTAAGCCATGGCTTCTCAAATAAGCTGCCCACATTGCCATCAATTTTAAATTACGGCTTGTGAGTTTTAATAGGTTCCTTCACCAAACTCGTTATAAGCCAGAATTAAAAATAGTAGACTATCCTACTGCAGTATGCAAACCAGTCTTTTAGGTTTGCTGGGTTCACTTCTTAAATCATTCCGTTTCAAATTGTAAGCCTAGATTTTGATGGACCCAGTTATGTGCTGAACGTGACTTAGCATTTTATGATTTGAATAAATTGCTAGTATAATGGCCAGTTGAGTATGTATGGGTCATTTGAACAAGACAGTTTCTCTTAAAAATTATTTACTGTTCTCTTCATTTTCTAGCATAAAATAGTTGTGTTATTCATTAGTAGAGATTTTTTTTTCCACAGCAGTGTGATGCTATGGTCTTCGCTTATCTTTGCAGTTATGAGGAATATTTGCAAAAAGGTAAAACTACACTACCACTCTCCCTTCAAAAAATTAAATCTACTTATAATTTTATTGTAAGTTTTAATTTCTGGAGCATTCTCAAATAGCCTAAAACCCCTCAAATGTAGATTTGTCCTGTAGGCATTTAGATCAATTTCAGATACGATTAAGGCAAATCTTGAGACTGAATTCAAGATTGATCTAGAAAATATTTTCCCCAAATCATAAGTTCCTCAAGAGATTTATAGTTTTTATTTAGCTCTGTTTTCATACTGTATTGAAGACAGAAGAAAAATTGTTAGCATTTTAACAGTGCACAAGAGTATTAACAGATTTAAATAACCTGGAAGTTATGACTGGATTTTGCAATAGAAGAAAAATAGCAAACAATAATGGTAGATAATATTCACAAATGTAAAAATGTGTTCCAGAAAAGGAGCTTTGAATATATTTACAGAATATTAAATTCAAAATTAGCTGTTGTGCAAGAAATTCTGTAAATAGTGAGTTTATGGCTAGCTATTAATCACAGATGCCCATATCAAAGAGGAAATAAAATAAGGAGTCTTTAAAGATTAGCTGTAGCAACAGTTTTTATTCATTTTGATAATGTTGGAATGCATTATCAAAAGTAGCAATCTACAGATATTTTGCAATAATAGGATGCAGCCAAAGTATGTAGAGTTCATTTTTATCTTGACTGGATACCTAAAATCCATCAACTAAAGCAGTGTAAACTATACATTTAGAATTAAAATATTATGAATTTAGAAATTTATATAGACCAAAACTAAACATTTACTACTTTTCTATATTAAAATCTGTTCTTCAGTTCCAATCTTTTTCATGT